CTAGCATACGTCTGGAATTTGGGACTGGTGCTGTGTTTGGAAGGTAGATCAGTATTGTCCAAGCCAGCAGCTACCAACTACACGTGGCAGTTAAAATTAGAACAAACGAAGTGATATTGAAAATGCAGTTTCCCTTGCACCTGGTGAAACAGCTCTGCGGGCAAAGGGGCCTGCTTTCGAGCCTCACGGACTGGGCTTGGCTGTGGCTTGCCACTTGGTGGAAGGTGAGACCCCACACCTGTAAACTGTCCTGTGACCTCCATCCCTGTGCCCTGGGATGAGAGCAGACTGGAGGTGCATATACACATGCAAATTTAAAATATAGGGCTGGGACTGGTGATGCACGCCTTTAATCCCAGCACTCAGGAGGCAGAGGCAGGCAGATCTCTGAGCTTGAGGCCAGCCTGGTCTACAGAGGGAGTTCCTGGACAGTTAGGGCTACACAGAGAAACCCCGTTTTTAAAAACAGAAACGAATTAAAGAAATATTAACCATCACTTTTTGAAAATTCAGTTTCTCAGTTGCTCTAGCCACTCAATAGACACGTGGCTAGTGGTTACACGCACACACGCGCACATGCACACACGCTTCACAAACGTCTTCGCATCATAAACCGTGAGTGGGATCAGATGTCACCATTAAGTTTAGAGAGATGGATGCTGCTTCTCAAGTTCCTCTCAATGATAAACGTCAAATAGGATATTCACTTTCATTGAGAAGGCTAGAACTTAATTTTGACTGCAGTTGGGAAAATTGGAAAAAATAATAATTGTAGCTAATCAGTCACGGCGTTGGTAGAATGCATTTGCGCACAGACAATTACCGGGTCTAGAAGCCAGTCGTTTTGGAACATGGTTTGGAAAGATGTCAGTGAGTTTTAAAATCAGGCTGTTTACCCAAACTGCCATATTCTCGGTCTTCCTTGTCTCACTTGCCCCTCCTACATTTACTTATTTATCTGTTTACCTATTGATTATTTTCGAGTTTACAAAAACCAGGAACTTAAACTTCAGAAAAAGACACAAAACTAATTTTCTTCCCATTTAACCCTTTCCATTTACATGCGTTTTGAACTATAATAGCCTAAAAACACGACAATTTCATTAGGGGGAAAAATGTTAAGCAGTAGAATCGACTAGAATGTCACGTTGTCACCCTGTGCTCCTGCAGTTAAAAACCGTGTCATTATTTCCATTAGACCGACCTCCTCATTTTGAGGGCTTATTAGCTGGGTTGTAAAAACTTGGTCCAGTGTGAGCCTGGCAAGCTGACAAGGCTGAGTGCCAGAAGTAATTTACTCTCCAGCGTAGTTTTCAGAGAAAAAGGGGGCTATAAATAATAGAAAAAGAAATGAAAAGTTAGCGGTTCCAAAGACTTTAATGCGAGTAACATACGTTACCCAGAGCTTGGACGCTTTTGCTGCCTACAGTGCTAGATCACACGGAAGGTTTGCTAAGTGCAGATGCTCCACTCGCGGCTCTAACCGCGGGCTCCGAGGTTCTCAGGCATCAAAGACCGTCTGTGTCTATCACTGCTGCCGGACTTTGAAGTCTCAGGGCTCGCGGTGTGGGAGAGGGAGACGGGGTGGGGTGGGGGTGGGAAGCCCAGGTGCTTTGCCTCTCGTTGTGTCTGAAAGTAGGTATTTTCTGCTCTTTTGAGTCACCAAGCTCTCTATGACCTCTGTCTTCAGATGAACAATGTGACCATTCCAAGAAGTTCAAGTTTACTTTAAAGTTTGCATTCAAGTGCACTAAAGGCAAGAACAGACGTTTTAGCTTCTGGTTAGGGCTCCTCTGGTGGGCTCCTTGTGAGATTGTCTCAGGACCTTAACTGAGGGCTGTTTGCTGTTTCTAGACTGGCTCATCAGCACCAAAATGGGAACGAACTGTTCCTTGAAAGCCATAGTTGATCAGAACACATCTTTCTGGCATCACTCTTTCCTGGCAATCGGGTGGTGGTGGGGTATGTAGAGCATGAAAATTCAAATTAAAATGATCACTGGACTTGGGAGCTGGTTCTGTGGGTAAAGTGCTGGCCACACAAGCATGAGGCCAGGAACCAGAATCCCTACAAGTCATGTAAAACACCCGCCTGCTATCCCAGTTCTACAGCAGTGGAGGCAGGAGGATCCCGGGAAACTCAAGGGCCAGCTATCCTGTTACAGCCATCAGCAAAAAGGGTTCCTGTGTCAAAGAAGGTGGAAGGCAGGCACCAACATCTGCAGCTGTCCTGGGGCTCCACACACTCATCCACATAAGCACACAATATACACACACAAGATTAAAGCAAGCAAAGCAAGTCCTGAAAAAGCCCAGCACAGGGGGCTTGAGAAATGGCTCAGTGGTTCAGAGAACTTACTGCTCTTTATATATATATATATCATTATTCTTTATTCTTTTTTATATTTATTTATTTATTATTTATACAGTATTCTGTCTGATTGTATGCCTGCAGGCCAGAAGAGGGCACCAGACCTCATTACAGATGGTTGTAAGCCACCATATGGTTGCTGGGAACTGAACTCAGGACCTTTGGAAGAGCAGGCAATGCTCTTAACCGCTGAGCCATCTCTCCAGTCCCCAACTTACTGCTCTTGCAGAGGATTTGCCACAAGGCAACGCACAACAATCTGTAACTCTAGTTCCAGGGTATCTGCCACCTTCTTCAGACTTCCGTGGGCGCCAGATAAGTGGTGCACATATACAGATGTGTGTAAAAATTCATATATGGAAAATAAACTACATTAGAAAAACAGCCAAGCTCAATGGCACAAGCCCATCATCACTCCAGCACCTGAGAGACAGAGGCAGGGGGATCGGAAATTTAAGGTCATTTTTGGCTGCAATAGCAAGTTTGAAGTCAGAATGAGACACACGAAATAGAATGCAAAATTCACATACTGTTTTAAATGCTTTGGAGAAGAAAGTGGATTTCTTTTCCTTTCTTTTCCCTTTCTTTCCTTTCCTTTTTTCTTTCTTTCTTTCTTTTTCTTTTTTTTGGAGGGGGTCATCTGGGGATCGAACTCAGGACCTTCTGCATTCTAACTCTGGACCACTGAACTAGATGTTCCAGCCCTTAGCAGGTGCTTTCAGCCCTTTTAGGTTGATATTAAAAAAGCAATAATGATAAAAAAATAGAGTTGTATGTGATAGCACATGCTTTTGATCCAAGCACCGGGGAGGAAGAGGCAGAGGGATTTCTGAATTTGAGGCCAGCTTGATCTACTGAGAGTTCCAGAATAGCCAGGGCTGACCAAAACCAAACCAAAACAAAACAAAACAAAAAATCAAACCCCAAACAAACAAGTAAGAGGCCACCTGTCTCTGCCTTCCGAATACTGGGGTCAAAGATGTGTGCTACTAGGGCTGGCCAAATAAATAAAATATTGATGTGATGTGATGAGGAGGATTGACACATAAAGGTCTTAGAGCAGCGCACACAGCTCTCTAGACCATAGCGAGACAGATGTTATTGTGAGATTGCAGAAGTGAAAAGGAGATTTTACCATCTCTATTATAACTATTCTTAGGGGCAAGATAATTAAAATAACTAAATTTCAAAAGAAGAGAGGAGAGCATAGTTGATTTAAGAACTGTAGTTAGCTCGTTAAGGTCTCTGTCAAAATCACCTGGAAATAAAGGGTTCCCGTCTGCCAGAGCTTGTTGACTTCCTCGCACTTAGAGTTTGTGAAAGCCCTGCACTGTGTGCTCATTTGTGGGCCTTCTATTAGAGCGAGGCATCTCTCTCGTGTGGGAGACTCCCTGTGCAGACTGAGCTTGCTACTCCAGGTCAGTTTGGTGGCTGACAGTCCTGCTTCTACAGAGAAACTGCATCTGTGATTTCCTTCCATTCTCAGATCTTACCCCTGAAAAGGGGTTGAGAAACGATGAACCCCACATTAGCCTCTGTGTCTGTTCTGAGTCTCGTGGGACAAGACATGAAATGGGAGGAAAAGGAAGGCAGAGAACCGGGTAGAACTGGGTAATTGCTGAGTCTTTCACAAATGGCATCGGGGATCAGGCAAGGATGTGAGTGTCGCAATAGCAGGTCTAACGAGACCCCTGCTTTGGCTTTATCATCTCCCAGGACTTAAAGAGAAGGGAACCAGAGTTTTTTAGTTGTAGTAACTATACCACCAATATTGCTTCTCAGTTTAGTTGCAGGATGGTTCTCTTAAAAATGTTCATTTGCTTGGGCAATGCTGTAAGGAAGAGCTGAGTAAATATTGACTTATTTCACCAACTTTCAAACTTTTCACTACCAAAATCCTGTTTTCTAAAACAAATGACAGTCTCTGATATCTATCAGAGTCTAATATTTTTTTAAATATTTTGTCTACATAAGTCAGAATATCTCTTTTTTTTAAATTTAAAATCGTGAGTGTGTGTGTTTGTGTGCGCGCGCGCGCCCGGTGTGGCATAGAGAAACTGTTGAGGTCAGAGGACACTTGCGGGAGTTAGTCCTCTCCTTCCACTGAACTCGGTGGCCAGGCTTGGTGGCACGATAGCCCTAATTATTTAAATGAGGAAGCATTTCTCACCATTTTAAAACGAACCTCCCATACAGAGGCTTAAATTGGCACGTGAAATATCCAAGTCTCCACATTGCTTTCCAGAAGAAGCTAGCACAATGTTAGCTGGGGCAGCCGGTTGTCTGTCTTAGAGCCACATTGAATTTGCATAACTAACAATATCATCTTCAATTGCATATTTTAGGTTCTCGGTGAAGGGACGTGAGGACCTGCGATAGGAGAATGATTAAAACAGACGACATCCAATAGAAAGCGTTCTTCAGGCGCTCAGGTAAAGCCTGAAGAGAAGAGCTTTTTCTGGTCTCGGTGGAGCGAGGATTTGGCCCCGCTTTCAGTCCCGCCCAACCCGGATCCGCACAAGACGTATATCAGACCGGAAGGGGGTCTCGCTGCAATTCTACAGTCAACCACAGGGAGGCGACAGCGGCCTCGATAGCGGGGAGGACGGTCCTAATGGCGGAAGCGGAAAAGGCGGGACCTACGAAGCACGTTCAGTCAGTCACTAAGACATCCCGGAGGCTGAGAGGTGGGAGCTTCTACGCGTGTTGGCCGCCCGGCGGCTTGTGAAGTTCCAGCCTCATGGCGGAGATAATTCAGGAACGCATAGAAGATCGAATCCCGGAGTTGGAACAGCTAGAGCGCATCGGGCTCTTCAGCCGCGCGGAAATTAAGTGAGCGGGTCGGGGAGGAGGAAGGACTGGGGCGGGCTGAGGGGAGCTTCAGGCATGGAGACTTTTCCGAGTTTGTTTCTAACTAACGTGATTAAGGAGGAAAAAGCCCGTTGTTGGAATTTGATGGAAATTAACGCGTTGCGAAGCACTCCGTCAGTCCGTGTGCTCACCTGTCATACAGACCGTCATTCGGTGGTCAGGGTCTTGGGGCCCGAGAGGTGATGTAGCCCGGATTCCAGCCCATCAAGGGCTTCCTGGGCTATGTGAATGGCGGGAGGCTTCAGATTAAAATTTTTTTTAAATTGGTTATAGTTTAAATGTTTGGGGTATACAACTTTAGAGTTTCGAGGCCATTGCCCTGGAAGCCAAGGGGGCGTGGGTAGGACTCCTAAGTGGGTAGACTGGAGATCATTTCATTCGTCTCAGACACTTCTTTAGAGCTCTGCTATAGCGCCGGGCATATAGCTGACATTCGGTAATTTGTTAAAAGTCAATTGCTTTTGAAGATTTTCTGTGACAGTCCACTTTACAATGATTCCGGATGAATTACAGTAATGTGAGTATAGGATCGACGTTCTTAAATATTATTGCGCAAATGCTGCATTCAGTTTTCCTAAAACACGTGTGTGTTCACTTAGGATGGGCTGTCTTCTCCCATAAATGTTTTATAGTAATAAAGCTTTTTAGATAGAGACAGTTTAGGTTTTTAAGAATTTACATACTGGCCATATAGAAATCAAGATTTTGGGATAGAGATTTGGTTCTCATAAAAACCTAAGCGTTTAGAGTTGAGGATGCATCTAAGAGCAACGCAGAGTGCTTACTTAGCCTGCACAAGGGCCTGGGTTTGATTCTAGGGAATGCAAAAAAAAAAAAAGCTCCCCCACCCCCCAAGGAACTTAGGTTTGGAGAAGAAATGTTTGTTAGTAGCATGTATAAGTAATATAAAGTGTTGTCAGGGTTTCCCTGTGTAACAGTCCTAGCTGTCCTGGAACTAGCTCTTTTAGACCAGGCTGGCCTCGAACTCACAGGGATTCACCTGCCTCTGCCTCCTGAGTGCTGGGATTAAAGGCGTGCACCACCACCGCCTGGCTATCTGGATGTTCTTAACAGCACAGAGGTAATGTAAAAGAGTAAGTACTTTGCCTCTGGAAGATAATTGTATTCAGGAACTAGATGTTTTGTTAAATGTGTATTTTTAATATATCCAGGATAAAAATCTTAAATTCAAGTTTAACTTTTCAAATGTTACAGTTTAACCAGCTTTCTCTGCAGGGCTATCATCAAGAAGGCATCTGATCTAGAATACAAAATACAGCGGAGAACCCTTATCAAGGAAGACTTTATCAATTATGTTCAAGTGAGTGATTCCATAGCTTTTTAGTCCCTTCAAAAATTTTAACTGGGAGGCTGGAGAGGTGGCTCAGTAGTTAGGAGCGCTGAACTTGAGTTCAATTTCCAGCACCCACATAGCAACTTGCAACTGCCTGTAGCTTCAGTTCCAGGGATCTGACACCATCACAAGGTCATACATGCAGATAAAACACCAATGTACATTACAAACAAACAAAAAATCCTAGAATTTTAACTCAGGCAATAATGGACTTAACAATTTTCTACAGAATTTCAGGATTCTGTGGTTGTACACACTTTTTTTTTGAGACTCACAGAGATCCACCTGCCTCTGCCTCCCAAGTGCTGGGATTAAAGGCGTGCGCCACCACCACCCAACAATACCTCATGTTCTTGAGCCTTAGAATAAGGCATGTATCATGGGGCTGGAGAGATGGTTCCATGGTTAAGAGGACACAGGTTTGATTTCCAGCTACATGATTGCTCACAACTATCTGTAAGTCTAGTCCCCGGGGGATCTAATGCCCTTTTCTGGCTTCTGAAAACTGCATGCATGGCATACACAAATATATTTGGGCAAAACACCCATACACATAAAAATAAAGGGGGACAAAAGCTTGTGTCACCATGTCAGGTGTGGCTGTGCTGAAAAGTTAACTTGAAATCGTGCTTCTTCTTTAAGCTGGGGCAATAGCTCTGTTTGTAGAGTGCTTGCCTAATCTGCCAAAGCTGAGTTCAGTCCCTAGCACTGTCTAAGATTGGATGTGGTGGCTAGAATTCCATGTGTAATCCTAGCATCCTTGTAATTCTAGCACCTGGAGGCAGGAGAATCACATGTTCATGGTCATTTTTTTTTTTTTTTGGTTTTTTTGAGACAGGGTTTCTCTGTGGCTTTGGAGCCTGTCCTAGAACTAGCTCTTGTAGACCAGGCTGGTCTCGAACTCACAGAGATCCGCCTGCCTCTGCCTCCCGAGTGCTGGGATTAAAGTCGTGTGCCAACACTACCCGGCTTCATGGTCATTCTTGGTTACATAGTAAGCTCTAAGCCAGCTTGGGCTTCATGAAGTGCTATCTCAAAATGCTAGAAGATAAAATATAAAAGAAAAAGCATTCCTGCTTTTATTTCCCAAATTCTGGGATTATAAGTATGCATTGCTATACTTGGCAGTGTTGCGGTCCTTGTGCATGCTAGGCAAGTCTTGCTTTTTTAGATAGAGTCTCATTATGTAGTCCTGGTTGGCAGGCTTGAACTCACAGAGATCCACCTGTCTGCTTCTGGAGTGCTGAGGTGAATGGAATATAGTGTAACACTGACTGGCAGTTGTTGTGCCTCTTGGCTTACTTTCCTAGCACTTTGGACTCATGACCTTCCTCCAGTCTTAGCCTCTGAGGTATAGATGTGTGTCACAATGACTGACTTAGATTTTTTTTTTTTTGTTTAAACTGAAAATTGGAACATGCTGCTAAATTTAAGTCAGGGAGTTGGATTAATTGATGTTATAGATCTTATAGGTGTCATGCTTTTCAAGTAATGTGCTGTCTTTGAATCTTAGTCGCCCACAGTCACTGTTGCTATATAAATGTCTAAGTTTCATGGAGCTAAGGTGAATTTCCAGTGAATTCTAGAGATTTGTTATAAATTCTGCCTATCGCAGATCTCAGCGAGTTCGAAGCCAGCCTGGTCTACCAAGCGAGTTTCAGGACAGCCTGGGCTGTTACACAGAGAAACTCTGTCTCGAAAAACAAAAGCAAAACAAAAAAATTCTGCCGGTAGCAAATTATCTTTTATTTCACGTCTTAACTTCAGAGGTTATCGCTTTCACGCTTCCCTTTGTATCCCCTACAGTATGAAATTAATCTTTTGGAGCTGATCCAGAGAAGAAGAGCAGTAAGTTCATGTTTAATTTCTTAAGTTGGTTTTGCTGTTGTGGAGGCACTGATGGTTGTTAACCTATGCTGTGCCCAAAGTAGATGCTTGTAATTGTCTGTTGTCTTTTTGTTTTTGTCAGGAACTGAGAGTGAGCATGTGTGAACGCTACATTGGATAAACGTGGTTAACTGAGGCTTTTTTTGTTGTTTTTTGTTTTTGTCCCTTTTAGAGAATTAAATATTCATTTAAGAAGGATGAGATTGAATATTCTATTGTACATCGAGTACAAGGTATCTTTGGTCGTGCTTCAGCAAAGTGGAAAGTAAGTGGTCAGCCCATACCTGAGGAGGCGTGAAGATACACAGTATGCATATTATGAGTTGGGTGTTCTTTCTGCTCCTCTCCAGTTCTCAATACGTATTTGCATGATGGTGCCATTGCTTGAAACAGTATAAGCCACACAAACTTTTAAGAAAGTTTATCTCTGAGACCAGCCTGGTCTACAAGAGCTAGTTCCAGGACAGGCTCCAAAGCCACAGAGAAACCCTGTCTCGAAAACCCCCCCCCCAAAAAAAAAAAAAAGAAAGTAAGTTTATCTCATCTCTTGGTCATGGTATTTTGTCAGGACAATAAAAAAGTAACTGCAGGGTGCAGAGGCTCATACCTTTGATCCCAACACTCGGTAGGCAGAGGCAGGTAAATGTCTGTGAATTCAAGGCCAGCTTGGACTACGTGGTGAGTTTCAGGATGGCCAGGGCTATGTAGAGAGACTCAAAAAAGGAAAAAAAAAAAAAAAAGGAAGGAAGGAAACTAAGACATTTAATCTCACAAAATAATAGCCACAATAATGGATTGTGGATCACTAATTATAACAAGATCCAGGAAAGTATCGATGCATACACACATGGCTCCAACATCAACCTTTTACTCCACATGCACATACACACGAAACAATAATTCTTGCCAGGCCTGGAGGTACATGCCTTTAATCCTGGCACTAGGGAGCCAGAAGCAGAGGCAGGCGATCTCTGTGAGGATGACACTGAACACTCTATTTAATACATTATTAGAGATTAGAAAACCAAAAGGGTGCAGGCCTTTAATCCCAACACTCAGGAGGCAGAGGCAGGTGGATCTCTGTGAGTTTGAGGCCAGCCTGGTCTACAGAGTGAGTTCCAGGACAGCCCCAACTATACATGAAACTGTGTCTCAAAGAAAAAGAAAAATCACCAGGGAGATAGTTGGGTGATGGCTTGGAGATGGGCAGTAGTACCTCAGTAGTTGATGTTCAAGTTTTGATGGGGACTGATCTATATATACATAAATAAACATATATCAGACGTGCTTTATATTCCTGAGAATGTAAGGCTTTAGTTTCTTTACCTGGTTTGAGAAGTTTTTAGAATTTTACTGGACAAATTAGATAGATGCCGATTCTTTTCTTAGACTGTGGTAGGTGGGAGTAGAGGGTTAGACTGAATTCTCGTAAGGGATCCAAGGCTCAGTGAGGAAGACTCTCGTAGATGAAGATTGTGTGGCACACTGGATCTTTTGAAACTTGCCTGTTTTCAGTGAAGTGAATTCATGTAAAGATCAAATTCAAGCAGCTTATGCTGTGCTTTTCTTGCAGGATGATGTTCAACTCTGGCTGTCCTATATAGTTTTTTGTAAGAAATGGGTGAGTAAAGCCATTTGTAGCTTCTTCTTCCCCATCTGTAATCTGCTCCTTAAGCTCCATTCTATGTTACTGAACTGTTTTTTCAGGAGGGATGCGGTTAACAGTTGGAGAGAGAAGCCAGGGCGCGGAGCTGAGCCTCAGTCTCACACTTGTAGATCCGACTGTGTGAATATTCTCAGTCAGTTGTAAAGAAATCATTTTTCTAAAATAATATATTTATTTATTTATTTATTATGTATACAATATTCTGTCTGTGTGCATGTCTTCAGTCCAGACGAGGGCACCAGACCTGTTTACAGATGGTTGTGAGCCACCATGTAGTTGCCGGGAATTGAACTCAGGACTTTTGGAAGAGCAGGCAATGCTCTTAACCACTGAGCCATCTCTCCAGCCCCCAAGAAAATCATTTTTATGCATATTTGTTCAGTAAAAAAATTGGAGCTAGAAAGTTTTGTGTTTACCCTGTCTTTATTTGTTGTTATATCTCTAGCAATAGCAGATCTTTCCCACTAAGTGTGTGTGTCAGTGTGTGTCCGTGTACTTACAGCTGGGCTGGAGCTTGCTATGTAGACCAGGCTGACCTTGAACATACAATGATCCAGATGCCTCTGCCTTCCAAGTACTGAGTTTAAGGCATAATTCACCAAACTAGCTTTTCCATTGGATTTTATAGTTAATAGGGTATATATATTGCTTCCAGATGAATAGCAATTATTTTTCTGTGCAGGAAGTGAGTGTTTTTCTCCTCTTTTACAGGGTACCAAAGCTCAACTTAGCAAGATATTTTCGGCCATGCTTGCCATTCATTCAAACAAACCAGGTATATCAAAATCTTCAACAGTTTTTATTCTACATTTTATTCAAACTCAGCCATTTTGGAATTTACTGTGCTCGATGAACCTAGGAAATTATTTAGAGTACTTGGCTTAGACTGTTTGTTACATCTTAGTTTATCCCTGCTTGTTTTGTATGTCTCGTCCAAGTGCCAGGTGTTGCAATTGTGGATAGAAAGGATGGTTTATCTTTTTAGCTGATGAAAAATAAACTTGATAGTTCTGTAGGGTATTTATTTATTTATTTATTTATTATGTATACAATATTCTGTCCGTGTGTATGTCTGCAGGCCAGAAGAGGGCACCAGACCTCATTACAGATGGTTGTGAGCCATCATGTGGTTGCTGGGAATTGAACTCAGGACCTTTGGAAGAGCAGGCAATGCTCTTAACCACTGAGCCATCTCTCCAGCCCCAGAAGGATAAAATATTAACATAGTTTGTAAGGTTCCCTGGCACAAAGTGTGTGCTGTTTTTTGTTGTTGTTTTTGGATTTTTTTTTTTTTTTTTTTTTGGCCAGGGTTTCTCTGTATATACCTAGCTGTCCTGGAACTCTATAGATCAGGCTGGCCTTGAACTCAGAGACCTGCCTGCCTTTGTCTCAAGTGCTGGGATTAAAGGTGTGTGCTACCACCACCTGGCCTGTACCTGGTTTTGTAAGAGAGACAAAGAAACATTCTTGTGAGTGGTAAGGGGCATGCTCTTGTTTAGTGGAGGTATTCCAGTAACTGTTCTCACAGTATTAGGCTCAATCAGAGATTTATATGACTTAAGACTCAAGTGAGCTTAGCAATTTTTAGGACTAAAAGTCAGTGTGATTCTTAAGTTGAGGTTTCTGGAGGGACTACATGAATGGATAGGAGAACTACTTTGGTAACCCATGGGTACAGAAAATTCTGGAAAGATCAGTACCCAGTTTTAGGAGTCACGTGCTCAAGAAAGCTAAAAGCAGTGGCTTTCCACCATTTGTGATTCCAGGAAAGTCCAGTTGTGATTTCCAACCAGGGGTCATTTTTACCAAAAGCAGGCTTGCTTTTTGCAGTCCTTGTGACCAAACCCAGGGTCTTTGTGCATTCTAATAAATGTTCACTTGCTGAGCTATTCTCCAGCCCTCTCTTTCTAATTAAAACTTTTTTTTTAAAGTACATAATTTTTTTATTTTGTGTATGTATGAGCATGTGTGTATATGCATGGACATGCACATGCCTTGTATAGACATGCACATTATGTAGACTTCAGAGGAAAATTTATGGAAGCTTGTTCTTTTCTTCTACTCTGTGGGGTCCTGGAGATCAAAGTTAGGTCATTAGATTGGCAAGCACCTTTCCTGATGAGGCGGCTTGGCAGCCTTTTTTCTAGCTTAGAGTTGCCAAATTCTATCAAAACATTAGAAACTCCCTTTCCGGGCTGGAGAGATGGCTCAGAGGTTAAGAGCATTGCCTGCTCTTCCAAAGGTCCTGAGTTCAATTCCCAGCAACCACATGGTGGCTCACAACCATCTGTAATGGGGTCTGCTGCCCTCTTCTGGCCTGCAGGCATACACACAAACAGAGTATTGTATACATAATAAATAAATAAATATTTAAAAAAAAAAAAAAGAAACTCCCTTTCCCTTTGGTAAGATAACTTATTGGGGCTGGAGAGGCGGCTCAGTGGTCTGGTCTGAACTGGTCTGGTCTGGTCTGGTTGGGACCGGCCTGAACCGGTCTGGTCTGGTCTGAGCCGGTCTAAACTGGTCTGGCCGGTCTCAGACATGACAGGCCTGACGGACGCGACTCTCGTGGCAAACACGACACACGCGGTGAAAACGGCACACATGACAAACACAACACGTGTGACAAAGACGACACGCACAACACAACCAACACACATGACACACGCCAGCGAACATAACACGTGTGCCGCGCCCACCACACGCGTCAAATTTGACACATGTGCCACATCAGACACATGCGCTAAATCCCGACACGTGTGCCGCTGGCACGCGTGTCAAAGCCCGCCGCATGTGTCAAATCTGGCACACGTGTCGCGTCTGCCATGTGTGTCAAACACGACACGCGTGTCGGATCTGTCCGCACGTGTCGTGTTTGCTGGATCTGTCACGTGTGTCAGATCTGTCGTGCTGCCTGCACCCGTCACATGTGTCGTGTTTGTCATGTGTGGTGGTTTCACCACGTGCGTCATGTTTGCCGCGCGTGTCGCATCCGTCATGCATGTCATATCTGTCAGACCGGTTCAGACAGGATCAGACTGGTTCAGACCGAACCAGACCAGTTTCGACTGGTCCTAACGGGTCCAGACCGGTCTCAGTCTGGTTCAGACCGGACCAGACAAGTCTCTGACCGGTTTCGACTGGTTCACACATGACGGATATGACACACACGACAGATATGGCACACATGACAAACGTGGCCCATGTGACAAATATGGCACACATGGCGAATATGTTTCTGATATTTTTTCTTTTTTTTCCTATAGCTTTGTGGATTATGGCAGCCAAATGGGAAATGGAAGATCGTTTGTCTTCAGAAAGTGCCAGACAGTTATTTCTTCGGGCTCTACGATTTCATCCTGAGTGTCCTAAACTCTATCAAGAAGTGAGTATACTGCTTCAAATGCAGTTATTTTTTTTCCCTTTCTGCATTTTTTTCTTTTTCCTAATGGGTAATTGTGTTTTCTTAAAATTTTGTGCCTTTATTTTTATTTATTTGTTTGTTTTGTTTTTTTGAGACAGGGTTTTACTGTAGCTTTGGAGCCTGTCCTAGTACTAGCTCTTGTAGACCAGGCTGGCCTTGAACTCACTGAGATCCACTTGCCTCTGCCTTATGAGTGCTGGGATTAAAGGTGTGTGCCCCCACTGCCTGACAAATATGACTAATTTTTTTTTTTTTTTGGTTTTTCGAGACAGGGTTTCTCTGTAACTTTTTGGTTCCTGTCCTGGAACTAGCTCTTGTAGACCAGGCTGGTCTCGAACTCACAGAGATCCGCCTGCCTCTGCCTCCCGAGTGCTGGGATTAAAGGCGTGCGCCACCACCGCCCGGCAATATGACTAATTTTTAAAAGTGGATTTTTTAATTTTTAAAAATTATTTTTATTATTATTTGTTTTTTTTTAAATATTTATTTATTTATTATGTATACAATATTCTGTCTGTGTGTATGTCTGCAGGCCAGAAGAGGGCACCAGACCTCATTACAGACGGTTGTGAGCCACCATGTGGTTGCTGGGAATTGAACTCAGGACCTTTGGAAGAGCAGGCAATGCTCTTAACCACTGAGCCATCTCTCCAGCCCCCTATTATTTGGTTTTTTGAGACTGGGTTTCTCTGTGTATCTTTGGCTGTCCTGGAACTTAACTATGTATGTAGACAGGCTGGCCTTGACCTCACAGAGATCGCCTGCCTCTGCTTCTGGCTCCCTAGTGCCAGGATTAAAGGCATGTACCTCCAGGCCTGGCAAGAATTATTGTTTCGTGTGTATGTGCATGTGGAGTAAAAGGTTGATGTTGGAGCCATGTGTGTATGCATCGATACTTTCCTGGATCTTGTTATAATTAGTGATCCACAATCCATTATTGTGGCTATTATTTTGTGAGATTAAATGTCTTAGTTTCCTTCCTTCCTTTTTTTTTTTTTTCCCTTTTTTGAGTCTCTCTACGTAGCCCTGGCCATCCTGAAACTCACCACGTAGTCCAAGCTGGCCTTGAATTCACAGACATTTACCTGCCTCTGCCTCCCGAGTGTTGGGATCAAAGGTATGAGCCTCTGCACCCTGCAGTTACTTTTTTATTGTCCTGACAAAATACCATGACCAAGAGAATTTATTAAAAAAAGCATTTAATTTAGGGATTCATGGTTCCAGAGGGTTAAAGTCCATGACCATCATTGCAGGGAGCATGGCAGCAGGCAGGCAGGCTTGATGCTGGAGCAATATCTGATCAGAGCTTACCTCTGATCTACAGGCATGAGGCAGAAAGAGAGCTAATTCGAATGATGTGTGCTTTAGAAACCTCAAAGCCTATCCTAAGGACACACCTCCTTAATCTTACCTTACCTCCTAATCTTTCCACCAATTGGGGACCAACCGTTCAAATGCATAAACCTGTGGGGCCGTTCTCATTCAAACACCACCCTAAGGAAGTGACAGTTTGTGTTTAGTAAGCGTATTTTCACATGGCTCTGCTTCTTTGTTGCTAAATGGGATAGAAATCTGAGTTACTCAGCCTTTGTGGATACTTTTTACTGTGTATGGATGAGATTAAATGAAATTACTTGCAGAAACTTCCATTCAGTCTTTTGGCTCATACACTTGGATTACATGTGAAATAATCTCTTCCATCATATATCAATAACAGCTAGTTTCATTCCAGTGTAAAATATGGTCCCTCATTTCCCTATATCTGATACTAATGATTTAAAAGAAGCCATCTTGGATATTTTTAATTTAAAAAGCATCTCTAAGGATTTCTAGGTCATTATTTCCTTTTTGTAGTACTTTAGGATGGAGCTGATGCATGCCGAGAAACTGAGGAAGGAAAAGGAGGAATTTGAAAAGGCTGCCATGGAGATGGTAAGAGTTCAGTGTGCTTCAGTTGTTAGTCTTTTGAGCCTGCTTACAAGTAAAAGAAGAATCTTTGAGATACATTTTCCTTTCCAATTTAATGTCACATTTTTCACTTACAGATACATTTGTAATTTACTTTAATTTTTAGAATTACATTTGCGTGTATGTGTGTTTGTTTATGTCATGATGTCAGAGGATAGTTTGAGGGAGTTGAACTGTTCCCTCTTTCTCTTTCCACCATATGGATCCTTTTTGTACTGAACCATCTTTCTGACTCAAACCTGGAACTCTTTTTTTTTTTTTTTCCTCTTTTTGGTTTTTCAAGACAGGGTTTCTTTGTGTAGTTTTGGAGCCTGTCCTAGAACTCACTCTGTAGACCAGGCTGGGCTCAAACTCACGAAGATCCACCTGTCTGCCTCTGGGATTAGAGGTGTATGCCACCACTGCCCAGCAAACTTGGAACTCTTGATCCTCCTGCCTCAACCTTCAGGGAGATGAGATTATAGGTGTGCTCCACCCTTTCTAGCTCTTTTCCTTTTTATATAATTTGAAATGTGACAGAATAACTTTAAATAAAGAGCACTGAGTGTTAGGGCTGGTAATATGGGACATACCTGTAATCCTAGTATTTGTGATCTGAGCCAGAAGGAATGTGAGTTCTAGTCCGTCTTGGGATACATACCAAGACCCTGTATTCAAAAGATAAAGCAGAAACAGAAACAAAGGAACTTGCTATACTGTTAACTGTGTTTTCAGTTCAGAACTTTGTGTGTAGGTGGGGTATGCACATGTGGTATATGTTATGCATTGCATTTGTATGTAAGGGAGTGTAAGAATTGTATGTGTATGTACATGTATGTGGCAGCCAAAGGTTGCTTTTTCACCTTGTATCTTATTTTCTAATTACATTTGAAAATATTGTTTTGTGGGGAGCACATATCATGGTATGTGTGTGGAGGAAAACTTGTAGGAGTTGGTTCTGTCCTTCATCACATGGGCCTTGGGGATCCATCTTAGGTGGTCAGGATGCAGCAGCTATCTTTACTCATTGAGCCATCTCAACAGCCCTTAATTTGTTTTTTAAATTATATTTATTTGTGTGCCACAGTGCACCTGTAGAGGTTAGAGGATAACTTAGAGGAATTGGTTTTCTCCTTCCATCAGTTACCCCAGGAATCCAGCTCAAATCATTAGACTTGGCAGCAGGCATCTTTATGCATGAAACCATGTCACTGGCCCTTATTAAAATTAAAAAACAATTACTATACTTTATTTGTTTATTTATTTTTGAGGCAGAATCTCTTATTTGGCTCTGCCTTGCCTAGATCTCATATGTTGACTAGACTGGCCTTGAACTCATAGGGACCCACTTGCCTGCCTCTGCCTCCTGAGTACTGGGATTAAAGCTGTGCCTAGATGTAATATACTTTTATTCATCTGTTTGTATGTGTGTTTGGGACAGGAGCACACAGGTACCATAGTATGTGTATGGTGGTCAGAGGACAACTTGTGCGAGTTGGTTTTCTCCTTCTACCTCATGAGTCCCAAGTACTGAACTGTCATAAGGGTTGGTGACAAAGTGCCTTTGCCTGTTGAGCCATCTCCCTGGTCCTTTCCACCTTTTTTTTTTTTTTTTTTTTTTTTTTTTTGAGAGAGAGACTCCCTGAATGTGGAACTCATCTATTTGATTAGACTAGCTGGCCCCATTGGTTCCTTCCTCTTACCACTAGGATTTCAGGTGTATGGTACACACCTGTTTTTTTTGCATGAATACTGGGGATTTACAAATTTGGTTACTTATACTTCTGTGACAAGCACCTTATCAATTGACCCATTTCACCAGTCCTCAGAACTTTTTTTATTCAAATAAGATACTATATAGAGGGGTCGTCAAAGCATGTGTAACCCAATCTGTTCTGGTCTAAATGGAGAGTGAGGCTAAGATCACCTGAGAGAAGGAGCAGGATGATTAGTGAGGTTCAAGCTGCACACTTTTTTTTTTTTTTGATTTTCGAGACAGGGTTTCTCTGTAGCTTTTGGAGCCTGTCCTGGAACTAGCTCTTGTAGACCAGGCTGGCCTTGAACTCACAGAGATCCACCTGCCTCTGCCTCCTAAGTGCTGGGATTAAAGGCGTGCGCCACCACCGCCCAGCTCAAGCTGCACACTTTACAAGTGAGGGGACTGGCCTCAGAATTGGGATTTGTCAGAAGTCATGTGCACTGTTGTCTAGGACAGTTAATTTCCATCCTGGTGGGTTTTGTTTGTTTGTACTTTCTGGTATTGCCTTTTCAGTTATGGTTGATGTACACTTTGTAGGGGAGTTTTGATCATCCTGAAGAAATCCTTGAGGGCGAGTTGGCACGAATCATTTACAAAAATTCTGTAAGCAAGATTAAAGGTAAGTATTCTCTGGATTTTGGGGGGGGTTGGTGTTCTCTTTGTGATGAAAAGAACTATTAACGTGTGACAAAGTTTCCTTCTGAGCTATCATTGGGCATTTCAAAGATTTTGTTGAGTAGTCAACTGATTTGGGGGAGTTGAAAAGTAGTAGATGATTTAATTCTTTGCCTTATGCCCTTTAGTTTATGAAACTTAGGAGTAGTTAGAAATATTTCAAAATATTAATGTCTTTGTTTATATGTTGGGAACAGAAGTCTGTCTTTGCAATTTAACTAACAATAAACCTCCCTTGATTTTTAAATTTTAGGTGCAGAATTTCATGTGTCACTTCTTTCAATTGCACAACTATTTGATTTTGCCAAAGATCTACAAAAAGAAATTTATGATGAGTAAGTTAAATAATGGTAAAGTGAACATGTCTATTTCTGGTCTTGTGATAAATATTTGAGGCTGTGGAGAAGTGAAAAAGAATATATACCTGGCAGTGGTGGTGCACACCTTTAATTTTAGCACTTGGGGGGCAGAGGCAGAGACAGGCAGATCTCTGAGTTTGAGGCTAGCCTAGTCTACAGAGTGAGCTCTAGGACAATACAGAGACACTCTGTTTCAAAAAAGGAAAAAAAAATATGCTTTACAAACTTTAGGAAAAATTATGTTATATTATGAATAGAAAATATATATTCCTGCAGTGGTTTTTTTTTTTTTTTTGAAATAATGGGCTTTGTTTCTAAAATAGAGTGCATTTTACCATCTTTTTCTAAAAGCTTATGTCAGTATATATTCTTCTTTTCTGCAAAATCAGAGTTGTGTTCATAATTTTTTATAGCTTATTGTTGATAATTTAAGCTGCATGTCTGGTTCAGGTATTTAAGAATTATTTGCATGTATTAGTTAATTTTTATGCTGTGATGAAACACCATGACCAAAAACAACTTACAGAAGAAAGGGCTTATTTTAGTTTATGGTTCCAGAGGGCTGGAGTCCATATGGTGGGAAAGACATGGTATGCTGGTACGAGCAGGAAGCTGACTGATCACATCTTTACCTGCACACAGGAAGCAGAGAGAGTGAGCGGAAGTGGAGTATGGCTATAACCCCACAAACCCTGCCCCCACTGATGTCCTTTTTCCTGCAAGGCTGTACTTTTGAAAGATTGCATAACCTCCCCAAACAGTGCTTCAAACTGGAGACCGAGTGTTCAAATCCATGGTCCTCTGGGGGAAATGTTTCTCATTCAAACCACTGCATAGCGCTTACATTAGTTACTTCCTTCCTTAGGTTCCATTTCTGGGGTCATGGGAGGTAAACTAGACCATGCATCAGTTTGTTCTTTGGATGTCTTCAGGGTTTTGGTACAGGATTAGGTTGTACTTTTTCTCTGCCTCTGTTACAAGAATTCAAGAGCCCAGGCTCTCCAGGCTTCTGTGGCCACAGATAACTGCTGATCTGATTTGGAGAGCTATCATAATTGTTTTTCTCTTTTTGAGACAGATTTCTTTGTGTAGCCCTCACTGTTCTGGAACTAGCATTGTAGACCAGGATGACCTCAAACTCACAGAGGTCCACCTATCTCTGCCTTCTGAGTGCTTGGATACCACTGCCCAGCTTGAGCTATTATAATTTTTTAAAAAGATTTATTAATTTATGTGCATGGGTGTTTTTTTGCCTGCATGTACATTTGCACACCAAATGCAATTATACATTAATACAATTATACATGGTTGTAATCTACAATTATAGATGGTTGTAAGCTGCCACATATATGCTGGGAACTGAACTCAGGACCTCTAGAATAGTAGACCAGGTTGGCCTCTAACTCACAGAGATCCACCTGCCTCTGCCTCCCAAGTGCTAGGATTAAAGGCGTACGCCACCACCGCCCAGCTGTAGCTGGTACTCTTTTTTTTTTTTTTTTTTTGGTTTTTTTCGAGACAGGGTTTCTCTGTGGCTTTGGAGCCTGTCCTGGAACTAGCTCTTGTAGACCAGGCTGGTCTCGAACTCACAGAGATCCGCCTGCCTCTGCCTCCCGAGTGCTGCGATTAAAGGCGTGCGCCACCATCGCCCGGCTGTAGCTGGTACTCTTAACCATGAACCATCTTTTCATTCCCTGAGCTATTATAATTTTTTCTTTGTTTGTTTTGTGACAGGGTTTCTCTGTATAACAACCCTGGCTTTTTTTTTTTTTTTTTTTTTTTGTTTTTCGAGACAGGGTTTCTCTGTGGTTTTGGAGCCTGTCCTGGAACTAGCTCTTGTAGACCAGGCTGGTCTCGAACTCACAGAGATCCGCCTGCCTCTGCCTCCCGAGTGCTGGGATTAAAGGTGTGCGCCACCACGGCCCGGCCAACCCTGGCTATTTTGGAACTCATTCTGTAGACCAGGCTGGCTTCAAACTCACAGAGAATCCACCTGCCTCTACCTCCCAAGTGCTGGGATTAAAGGTGTGCGCCACCATCACCCGGCAAGAGCTATTATAATTTTAAAGTTAATATTTGTTAGGTGTTTGTTTATTATTTATTTATTTAAAAGCAGGGTCTGGAACTTAATATGTAGCTCAGGCTGGCCTTGAATTTATGGGACTCGCTGGGAATATAGGCTTGTGCCACCATGTCCAGCTAAAAGTTAACATTTGTAATGGTGCCTGAAACATTCTGAAATTTTATTGATAATTAACAGCTCTGTTCCATTGATAAGTCTATACATTAAGCTGTTCTGGCAATGTATAGACTTACTGCAGCTGTAAAAGGGTGTCCCGTGTCCTTTAGTAGATCATCAGAACTCCATTAGTCTGGAATTAGTTTCTTACCGTGGGGGCAGGTGCCAGTGAGCTGTAATTTTCAGCCTTCAAGCTCTGCACACCGATGACCCACTCACTTGGGATTATGTGGCACGGCGAGAATTAGAGATCGAGTCCCAGCCAGGTGAAGAGCAGCCTGTATCAAAGCAAGCCAAAGCCGTGGAAGTGGGCCGAAGGGAGGAAAGATGCTGTGCGGTGTACGAAGAGGCAGTGAAGACTCTGCCTACAGGTGAGTCTGTCTGTGCTGAGAGTAACAGTACAGGAATGTGAAACTGATTGTCTCATTGTCAACACTTGAACTGCTATGGGAGTCTCCTGTAGAGGGATGTAACTCAGTGGTAGAGCAAGCGTGTGCCCTGAGTTCAGTCCCCAGTAGAAGAGAAAAAAAGAAGAGAATTTATGTCATTACTCAGTTGCTTTCCCCCAGTATCTGATTGATGTCTGATTCTCTGTAATGGGAGTTTTTTGTTTTTTTTTTAAGTCCAGGTCAATTTAAACTTTTGCTTTTTTCCCCTGGTTTTTCAAGACAGGGTTTCTCTGTGTAACAGCTCTGGCTGTCCTGAAACTTGCCCAGTAGACCAGGCTGGCCTCGCAGTCACAGAGATCCTACTGCCTCTGCCTCCCAAGTGCTGGGATTACAAGCATGCGCCACCAGTGCCCAGCTTAAAATTTCTTTTTAAAAATGATTTTTATTATTTTTAAAAATATTTTATTTTATTTTATGTGTATGTGTGTTTGTCCCGGTGAGTGAATAATGTCACATGTGCTGGTATCCACAGAAGCCAAAAGAGGTTGTCGGATCCCTTGGAGCTGGATTTGCAGGTGGTTGTGAGCCACTCAGTTAGGATGTTAGGATCCTAAATTAGGTCCTCTGGAAGAGCAGCAAATGTTCTCAACCACTGGGGCATCTCTAGCTGCTAACTTCAACTTTTTTCTAGAGGAGTTTCCCTTTGAAAGGAAGATGTTTGGACTAAGGATAGTGAGCTAATTAATGTCACCTGACTTTTCCAGAGGCCATGTGGAAGTGTTACATCAACTTTTGTTTGGAAAGGTTTTCTAAGAAGACCAGTAGTGTACCCCTCAGAGGACAGGTAAGGATTTCCGTTGCATAGCTACCAAACAAGGACAGAGTTCTTTTGGGGTTTGGGTTAGCTCCCAGAATTTCAGACTTAACCACTTGACTTTCGCTATGGGTGACCTGTCATCATGAAGATCTAGTCTGTTTTGCCCCCCTACTGGGCTGTGCCAGGTGCAGGTGCATAGCTCATCTCATCCAGGAGTGACCCCCATTCAGAACTGGGTCCCATCTCAGAATTCTCAGAAATGTTCAAGAGCACTTTGCCTAGATTCGTGGCCAGAGGCCCCTGCCAGATTCTGTCTAATGACCCCAGATATTTCTGATTTCAGAGGCTGGAAAGAACCATGCTTGCATTCAGAAAGGCCCATGAACTGAAGCTCCTTTCTGAAGCCCAGTACAAGCAGTGGGTAAGGCCATAGAAAGCATTTTCATCGCCAATTACGTATACTTCAATACTTCATTCTGATTTAACTTATAGAACACCAAAGCAGAAAATCAGAGTAAGCCTACTCGGCATTACCATTCCCTCTCTTCTCTTTTCCTCCCTTCTGTGTCTCTTCTCTTCCACGTTCCCTCCTCCTCCTTTTTTTTTTTTTTTTTTTTTAAAGGATTTTTGTTTTTGTTTTTTTGATACAGGGTTTCTCTGTGTAGCTTTGGAGCCTGTCCTGTTCAAGGCACTGTCCTTGAACTCACAGAGGCTCACTTGCCTCTGCTTCCTGAGAGCTTTAAAGGCATGTGCCACCACCTCCCAGCTTGTTTTTGCTTTGTTGAGACCAGGTTTCTCTGTGTAGCAGCTCTGGCTGTCCTGGAACTCATTCTGTAGACCAGACTGGCCTTGAACTCAGAGATCTGCTTGCCTTTGTTTCTTGAGTGCTGGGATTAAAGGTGTGTGCCACCATCATCCAGCAAAGGATTTATTTTTTTGTTTTATACATATGAGTGTTTAGCCTGCATATATGTATGTCTAACATATATGTGGCGGGTGAAAGAGGGTTTTGGATCTCATGGAACGGATGGTTGTTTATGACATGTGGGTGTTGAGAATTGAACTGCAGTCCTCTGGAAGAATAACCAGTGTTCTTAACTGCAGGGCCTTCTCTCCAGCCCTTTTCTCTTTTCTCCCTTCCCTATTTCTTCCTTTCCCTTCTGCTTCCCACCCTTCCTGGGTTCCCTCCCTTTCACCTTCCCTTCCCCCTTCTCCTCCCTCCTCCTTCCCTTTGCTTTCTCTTACTCTTGTCATTTTTGCAGTAGTGGCACTGTAATCCCAGTGCTGGGAAGGCAGAGACAGGCAGACCCTGGAGGTCATCAGTTGAGCTGAGTAGATGAGCTCCAGGTTCAGTGAGAAACACTATCCTAAAACATAAAGTGGAGGGCTGGGAGATAGCTCAGCTGGTAAGTGCTTGCTGTACAGTGTCAGGACCAGTATCCATGTAAATGCCTGGAATTCTAGTGTGCTGAAGGGAAAGACAATGCTCAGAGTAACCTGGCTAAGTTAGATTAGCTCTGTGGTGAGCTCTGGGTTTAGTTGAGAGACACTGCCTCAGTGAGTAAGGTGGAGAGCTATGGCTGAAGCTAACATCAGCTTTGGACCTCCATCTGCATGACTGCACTCGTGGAAAAAAAAAAGATAGCGATGTGGAAAGCAACCTCTGGCTTTCATGTGCACATGCTTGTGCGCACACACACACACCCCTATATCAAAACACACATGCGTACACTCACAAACACTTTTTTTTTTCTCCCAAGACAGGGTTTCTCTGAAACAGCTTGACTGTCCTGGAACTCGCTCTGTAGACCAGGTGGCCTTGAGTTTACAGAGATCCACCTGCCTCTGCCTTTTCTGGAATTAAAGGCATGCGCCACCACTGCCCAGCAGATCTCGTTATAAATGATTGTGAGCCACCATGTGGTTGCTGGGAATTGAACTGAGGACCTCTGGAAGAGTAGTCAATGCTCTTAATCTCCGAGCCATCTCTCCAGCTCCAGCTAGAGCTCTTAGTCCCTGAACGTTAACTTCTCTAGTCCTCCATGATTCTTGTTATATAGTGTCAAATTACGTTTGGAAAAGTTATACCAGTAAAGTACATTGAATGAATATATCTATTTTCTGAAAGGAAATACTATGATTTTGTGTATGTATCTGTCATGCCGTGTGTGAGGAGAGGTATTTTTGGGAAGTGATTCTTCCTTTCAGTGTGGGATCCTGAGAGAGAACTCAGCTGACTGGGTTGCCGGGCAGCCTTCTTTCCCTGCTGAGCCATTTCTCTCCTCAGCCCGTCTCTCTGATTTTCTGGTTGTCCTATGGGTAGGAGCAGGGGAAGAAGGGAATTCCAGATGCCCTATATCAGCTGTGGGGAAAGGTGTAGTGGGAAGGCTGTTGAGATTATTGTCATAAATAATCTTTATATGCCTTTCTTTATATGTGTCATTTGCTTTCAAGTGGCACTTTACATGTGCTTTGTCTTTCTCAGGTTGACTTGTTATTGCGCCAGGACCTCTTTAAAGAAGCTTTGCAGGTGGCAGAAGCTGGGACTGACTTGTTCAAAGACTCTGCAACAATGTGGCAGATGAAGCTACAGGTGCTCATTGGGTCAAAGAGCCCCGATGTAGCTATGCATTTTGAAGAAGCCTTTGCACACCTCAAACCCCAGGTCTGTGAATTGTGTCTTTCATATTTCATTAATTAATTAATTATTTATTTTATATGTATAAGTGCTTTACCTGTCTGTGTCCCGTGTGTGTATGGTGCCCAAGGAGGTGTTGAGTCTTCATATTGCTGCTGGGAATGGAACCCCGGTCCTTTGCAACAAATGTTCTTGATCACAGAACCAACTCCCAGTTCAGCTCTTTTTGGAAAACTGGTTTTTGTTTGTTTCATTTTTCATTTTTTTTTTAGATTTATTTATTATGTATACAGCATTCTGCCTGCATGTATATCTGCACACCAGAAGAGAACATCAGATTTTATCATAGATGGTTGTGAGCCACCATGTGGTTGCTGGGAATTGAACTTAGGACCTCTGGAAGAGCAGCCAGTGCTCTTAACCTCTGAGCCATCTCTCCAGCCCCTCATTTTTCATTTTTAAAAGACAGGGTCTCATGTAGCCCAGACTGGCCTAAGGAGAACCTTGAACTTTGATTTTTCTGCTTCCACCTCCTGAGTGCTGGGATTTATAGGCACACTTCACCATGTCTGCTTTATGTAGTGCTGGGGATTGAACCCAGGGCTTTGTCCAGGCTAAACAAGCTCTCTATGAACTGAGTATCTCCAGCCCTCTTTAAAAAAAAATGCAGTATTCTGTTTGCATGTATGCCTGCAGGCCAGAAGAGGGCACCAGATCTCATTGCAGATGGCTGTGAGCCACTGTGTGTTTGTTGGGAATTGAACTCAGGACCTCTGGAAGAAGAACCAGTGCTCTTAACCTCTGAGCCATCTCTCAAGCCCTCCAACCGTCTTTTCAGAAACCTTTAAGATTTTATGAAAGCTTATTAGTAAAATAAGCTTGTCTAAAGAGAGCAAATGCTAGAATAATTGTTATTAAATGTTAATGGTTTGAGGATTGAAGAGAAGTTACTTCTATTTCTAATCCTTTATTTGTAAGTTTACTAAATCATGTAGGATTTCTTATTCTGCTTAAATGGTTTACAAATAAGAAACACTAATAGAATATTTTCACTTTGCATCCACATCTGTTCATAAACTCATCTTGAAATCACAAAAATCTAAATGTTAATGTTCTAAACTTACTTTGGGGAACAAAGTACATTACTGCTTTCTGCTGTCTACCTGTCTCTCCACAGTGACGGTCAGGTAGGCCAGCCTAGATCAGTTCTTATGAAGTGCTCCCAGACCACAGACTCATGACCTGGGTAGCTGTGGGGCTGACTGTGTGTGGCTTTTATTTGCTTGTTTAACTGAAAGGCGATGGCTCCTGATGACTATAGCCAGGATTCCCGTCAGAACTGAACTCAATTATTGAAGTGTTCCTCTGGATGATTTGGCTAGGAGGCTGCAGTGACCCTGTCCTTACAGTGATGAGTGTTCAGAGCACAGTGCTGGGAAAGTCAAATCTAACAATTTTTGTTGTTGTTTTTGTGAGCAGGCTTGTCTGCCCTTGTGGATTTCTTGGGCCGAATGGAGTGAAAGTGCTAAAAGCCAGGAGGACACTGACGCAATCTTTAAGGTACAGGCCCTCTCTTCTGTCCCTTGTGGTCATAGCTCAAGCCTCTACTTAGTGCCTTGTGGTGTGTCTTAGTAATATGTTTTGATATCACTAAGTTCCTTTACAGAGCTTGTTTTTGTTTCTTTTCTTTTAAATGTAGAGAGCTATTTCAGCTGTCACAGGTGCCAGTTCAATAACTCTGAAGGAGAAATACCTGGATTGGGCTTATCGAAGTGGTGGCTACAAAAAGGCCAGAACAGTGTTTAAAAGGTACTGGCGAGTGCTCCTGCCCACACTCAGTCCTTCACACCCAGACTATGTACTTTACAATAGTGTCTGAAGTGCTATCAGACTTTCAAAACTCACTTCCTTTTTCTGTTTTTGTATAGTTAAAACAATTCATACACGCAGAGGAAATGACATTTAGCTCATTGATGACTGTAATTGTGTCACTAGTACAAACAGCTCGGTCACAGATCATTTCTTTTTAAAGCAGTAGGGATTGAGCCAGGGCCTTGCACTTAGACAGGGGTTGAATACGGAGCTGGATCTCTAGCCTATTACATCATCTTAGTGATTGTGTCTTACATAGTTGACGCACACTGTAATTCCAGTTTTGAATACCATCGCTAAGCGTTGGATTGTCTACTTTCCTCTGCAGTGAGGCTGCTCCATAGCAGGAGTTGTTTAAAGCAGATGTGTGGAGCCTCGTGTGGTAGAACATGCCTGTAACCCTAGGAGACCATCTGAACCTAGCTAGTGCATAGAGACCAAACAGGGCAACATAGAGAAACATGTTATAAAAACAAAACAAACAGACGAACAGCAACAGCACAGAAAATGTGTGTGGGAAACTGTTCAAGGGTGGTAAGGGGTCGGTCACTCGCAGTTGAGGCATGGGAATGACTCCGTCAGGTCCAGTTGTGCCTGAGATTGGTGCTGAGTTTTTGTTAAAGCTGTTGTGGAAGCAAAACCTTGTTATGTATCCATGCTTATAAGCTGTAAAAGGCCTTCTGTCATTGTGGGAACTAACATTTACCCACTCCTCTTAGTCTGCAGGAAAGCCGCCCGTTTTCAGTTGATTTTTTCAGGAAAATGATACAGTTTGAAAAGGAGCAGGTGAGTATTCTGAGCACTTCCTGCCTGGAAACGGGGCTCTGTGGTTATTACTCAGGGCAGCATCTTTTGTTTAAACTTTAGTTAGAGTGGAGTGTGAGCTCCTGGTCCCCTGGATCAGCCTCTGTCCATAGAACTGCTAAGAATGGTAATCAAGCCTAGATGAGAAGGCATGTGTCTGAGAGCAGGAAGCCCGGATGCCCGGGAAGCTTCCTGCACTGCTGCTTGCTGCCAAGGTGCACTGTTCCTGTCTTGGGCTATAGATGAGCGCTTAATTACTGTTCCCAGTGGTTTTAACTGTGACTTATGAGGAGGGTGAAAATCAGTTACACACTCAGGGTGATAGTGTAGTGTTTGTCTTTAGTCCCAGCACTCAGGACCTCTGAGAGTTTGAGGTCAGCCTGCTCTATGTAGTGAGTTTTAGGCCAGCCAGGGCTTTATAACAGGACTCCTAACAACTGTCCGTAACTTCAGTTCCAAGGGATCAAACACCCTCTTCTGGCTTCCATGCAGACAAAAAAAATAGAGAAATCTATAAAAAAAAAAAAAAATTCTTAAAAACTTAGATACGGCCGGGCGGTGGTGGCGCACGCCTTTAATCCCAGCACTTGGGAGGCAGAGGCAGGTGGATCTCTGTGAGTTCGAGACCAGCCTGGTCTACAAGAGCTAGTTCCAGGACAGGCTCCAAAACCACAGAGAAACCCTGTCTCGAAAAACCAAAAAAAAAAAAAAAAAAAAAAAAAAAAAACTTAGATACGTACCACCATATATGTTATATATGGTTAACATGTTGTCTTCCAAAAGAATTAACAGTTACTTTACTAATATATAGTCTTCCAAAAGGATTATAGTTGTTTATAGAGATGGCTAATAGATGAGTATACCTATTTCCTCATAGCTTCTCTAGGTATTAAAGCTTTTTTTTTTGTTTCTTTGATTTTGTTATATTTCACATGGGAGGGATTTATTTTTATTTGAAATTTGAAAAATTACTAGTGAGGTCGAGCTCCTGTTTTTTTTTTTTTTTTTGTTTGTTTGTTTTTTGTTTTTGTTTTTCAAGACAAGGTTTCCCTGTAGTTTTAAAGCCTGTCCTGGAACTAGCTCTTGAACACCAGGCTGGCTTCATACTTATGGAGATCCACCTGCCTCCGCCTCCTGAGTGCTGGGATTAAAGGTGCGTGCGCCACAACCACCCGGCCCCAAGAGCTCTTGTTTTCATGGTTTTGACTATTGTTGCTTAAGTCAGGTACCTATTGTGCTGAAGTATAGTATAGTCTTACATGATGAGACAGTTCAACATAATATTTAATAACCAGGGCTGGAGAGATGGCTCAGTGGTTAAGAGCATTTCCTGCTCTTCCGAGGGTCCTGAGTTCAATTCCCAGCGACCACATGGTGGCTCACAACCATCTGTAATAAGGTCTGGTGCTCTCTTCTGGCCTTCTGCATACACACAGATAGACTATTGTATACATAATAAATAATAAATATTTAAAAAAAAATATTTAATAACCAATCTCTGGATTATTAATGTCATAGTTATGCTGTGGTCAAGTCACTTAATTGTATAATTTAGCCTCATCTATATAAGAAGGCCCTCTGCCTGCTAAAAGTGTATGAGACATGTAAGGCCCAATGGGATACTGGATAGAAAGAATATGTATAGTGCAATTGTCAGGAACAAGCTTCGATAAAAATACCTCTCACCAGGTATTAGGCTAGGAAAGAGCTAAGGTCTTTTGCAAGAGCAGCAAGTGCTCTTAACTGCTGAGTAGATCTCTCCGGCCCCATACAAAAGACTTCAGTTTACCTGATGGTGGTAACCAGGAGGCAGACAGGCAGATCTCTGAGTTCGAGGCCAGCCTGGTCTACAGAGTGCTACAGAGTGAGTTCCAGGACAGGTAGGGCACACAGAGAAACCCTGTTTCGAAAAACCAAAAACAATCAAAACACACACACACACACACACACACACAACCACAAAATAATAACAACGAAAAGACTTTAGATGATGTTAATCTGCTGTGAAAATATACTCTAAGTGGAGCTAGAGGTGCCGTGTAGGGTGCTTTCCTAGCTCGCAGAGCCCTGGCTTTCATTTCCAGCTCCACAAAAACTGGGTGTGGTGAAGAACACCTGTTGTCTCAACACTTAGGAGGTGGAGGCAGGAGGACCAGGAGTTCCAGATGTCATCCTTAGTTACACAGAGTTCAATGACAGCCAGAGCTACAAAAGCAGTGCCCACTATTCTGTTAGGTCATAGCCTGTCATCACTCTAGAGGTGGGAGGGCCTAGGAGAATGGAGCCAATAAACGAGGTGGACTAAAATCTCATGCAACAGCCAACTTTATTTGGAGCCTCAGACAATTTATACTCAGGGTGAAGACAGGTCACATGTATAAAGTTCTCATGAGTTCAGACTATATATAATTACAAGGACGAGCCACTGGCAAAAATATGCTTTCCATAGAAGGCATATAAAGGATAATTGAGTAACAACAGCAAGCAATAACGAGTAATCTGAAGTGAAGTCATTCCTATCTGCTGCACCTGGAAGGAGCCTGAAAACACATTCTAAGAATGATTCTGTGTTTTTGAAGAAACTGAGGTCACAAGATTCTGTCTTGTTTTCTTGGAGTAGTCTAACAAGAATTCTTTTTCCTCAACTGACTCCATTCCTGGACTGTGTTCTGACATAGGCCACACTTTGTGGCCTGTAACGGTGCTGAGGTGCTTTCCAAGGGAAGGAGTACTTAATGTTAGAAGCCTCAAGGAGCTTGATAATCATGTACTTGTATTTATGTGTTATTGTGATAGGAGTTTTAGAGCTAGGCATGGCGACTCATGCCTTTAATCTCAGCACCTAGGAGGATTGCTCTGTGAAAGGTTTTTGCTGCCTAACAAACCTCTGCTGACACAATAATCCAAATCAGACCAAATCAAACCAAATTAGAAAAAGCTCAGGTTTAATGGGTGCCAGGACTCCCAGGTGGCCTTCCAGTCCCAAGAGAGGAAAGACCGGGGAAAATACAGAGAGGGGAAAGGAAGACCAGAAGACCATGTGTTCATTCTCTTGGGGACAGTTTAAATACCCTGTGGGAGTGGTCTCAAGCCTCTCTGGGGAGGGGTCACCATTTGGCGTGCTTTCTTGGATGTGGAGTGGACTGAGGCAACTACCAGGGGAGGGGCCTTGGATGGAAAGTTCCACCCAAATATTCCAGAATGGATGCCAGGGGCTGGGGCGAAGCCTGGACCCAAACATTCCAGACTTTGGATATAGGGGTGTCAGTGGCTGACCAAACACTATGAACTTCTGCCAACCTGAGATGCATAATGCATGATGAAATCTTGTCCCCCCCCCCAAAAAAAAAAGGTTTTAAGGTGGTCGTAACTTAGAGCACAAATTCTCAAAAGGAAGAAATCCTAGCATAGGCTACAGAACTGTCTGTTTCTTTGTTCACTTAAATTCCACTCAGCCCCTCAGGGGTTTCAAGTGTTATTCCTGTGACACCTCGCCAGTTCCACCCTGACAACGCAATTAGACTTTTCCCTGTGTCAGCCAGCTAAGTGCTTTCCTGGTCGACATTCACTTCATTCTGGTAAACGTGTTTTTTCTTCTCTTGGTCTTATTTATTTTTTGTGTGCCACAGTGTGAGTGTGACAGAGGTCAACTTTTGGGAGCTGAGTCTCAGCTTCTGCCATGTGGGTGCTGGGGATTGAGCTAAGGCTGTCAGGCTTGGTGTCAGGTGTCCTTGGCTGCTGAGCCATCCCAGCATCCTGGTTTTTCATACTTTTTTGGGATAAGTTGAGAACTAGGCTGGTTTGATCCTTCTCCTTCAAATACCTAACAGATAGTAGTTGCTTAAAATAGAGGCAAAATGAGTTTATGATTGGATGGATGAAGGCAGATCTGGTTGTTGTTACAGGACCCCTGCAAGATGGCAAACCTACGGGAATATTATGAGAGGGCGCTGAGAGAGTTTGGCTCTACTGATTCTGGTAAGTAAACTTTCAGTTACGGGTGTGAGCGCTGCTCCTGCACTCTCTGAGCTGTTACCTGGGTAGAATAGTGTTTCTGGTTTGCACTGTCCTTCTCTTGTGGTTTTTGAGACAGGGTCTCACCCTGTCGTCTAGGCTTCCTTAGAACTCAGTACATAACCTAGACTAGCCTCAGACTGGTAGTATTCCTGTCTACTCTGTAGCACAGGATTTTCCTTATCTTTTAAGTTTGTAAGCCATCGTGTCCACTAGTTCTCTTAAGAACTCTGGATCAGGCAAAGATTTGCTTGGTTTGGGTCTCTCTTTTTGTTTTTCTAGACAGGGTTTCTCTATGTAGCCTTGGCTATCCTGGAAATCGTTTTGTAGACCAGAATGGTCTTGAACTCACAAAAGATCTGCCTGCCTCTACTTCTCGAGTGCTGGGATTAAACATCTGCCTGTAAAAAGAAAAGTTTACGTGGGCTGGTGAGATGGCTCAATGGCTAAAAGCACTTGTTTTCAAGCATAAAGACACGGATTTGATCTCTTGAGCCCACATGTAGAAAAAAAGGACTTATTTCCACAAGTTGTCTTCTGACCACGCGTGTGCCATGACATGCAGGTGTGTACACATACACACAATATAAAGTAAATAACTTTTTTTTTAAAGATTTATTTATTTATTAAATAAACAGTGGTCTGTCTGCATATGTCCCTTCAAGCCAGAAGAGGGCAGCATATTTCATTACAGATGGTTGTGAGCCACCATGTGGTTGCTGGGAATTGAACTCAGGACCTTTGGAAGTGAAGCCAGTTCTCTTAACCTCTGAGCCATCTCTCCAGCCCCAGTAAATAACTTTTTAAAAATTATGTGTGTTGGGATGTAGTGGTTCATGACTATAATATTGCTGCAGAGGTGGAGGCAGGGGTATTCCCAGGAGTTTGAGACCAGTCTAGGCTATGTAGTGAGTTCTAGGCTAGCTTGTACTATAGAATGAGACCCTGTCTTAAAAAATCAAAACTAGGGGCTGGAGAGATGGCTTAGTGGTTAAGAGCATTGCCTGCTCTTCCAAAGGTCCTGAGTTCAATTCCCAGCAACCACATGGTGGCTTACAACCATCTGTAATGAGGTCTGGTGCCCATACATGTAGACAGAATATTGTATACATAATAAATAAATATTTAAAAAAATCAAAACTAAATCAGACTAGTATTTATAAAGAAAACGTTAGTGTAGGCCAGTAGTCACAGCTGGTCATCATAGTAGAAAAGATGGGTCAGTCAGTGCTTGGTCAGTTACACTAAGGCTAGTGTGCTGTGGCACAGTCGGGGCTGACTAGATAACAACAGTGTGTACCATCTCTTTTAAAAAGTAGAAAGGAAACCTAGCAGTGCTGGGTGGTGGTTGTGATCCCCTTTAATCCCAGCACTTGGAAGGCAGAGGCAAGTTCACAGAGTGAGTTCTGAGAAGTACGCCAGCACTTGGGAGACAGAGGTAGGCAGGTCTCTGTGAGTTTGAGGCCAATCTGGTCTGCAGAGTGAGTTCCCAACGGCTAGGACTGCACAGAGAAACCCTGTCTTCAAAAACCAAAAACTAAAACCAAACCAAAACAACAACGAAAAAGTAGAAAGGAGTTTGAAAGTTTTGCTGTGAAGAAATGATGAATGTTTCAGAAAAAGATAGGCGTAACTTTATTTAAACATTACACAGTGCTTATTTGTATCAGTATTACATGGCACCTCGTTTTCTTCACAATATATTTTAAAATTTCACTTAAGTTCACTTAATTTTATGTGTGGAAGTTTTTTAGAACTTTTAAATTGGCTTAGTATTAAATAATTGAATTTGCCTAATAAGGCTTTCCCAGCTTTCTAATTAGGTTTACATTAATTTTTTTTTTGTTTTCTTTAAAGATCTTTGGATGGATTACATCAAAGAAGAATTGAGCCACCCCTTCGGTAGACCTGAGAACTGTGGACAGATCTATTGGCGAGCCATGAAAATGTTACAGGGACAGTCAGCGGAGCTGTTTGTAGCTAAACATGCCATGCATCAGGCTGGCCACTAGCGAAGAGTACTACCAATTCAGTGAAATTGTATTGCAAGCCCCTGGGGTGGTTTGTAATATGAGTCAGTGTGTATGAATTGTTGAGACGTGGCAGACAGGGTAGCTGATTGATTTTGTGACATACTTTAATTTGGCATTACTCTTTGGTTCCAGAGAAGAGAACTGTCACTGCCTGTTAAATCTAAAATACATGGAGATCATATGCTTGAGTTTCATTTCTTGTTCCAGGACAAGCACACACTGCTCTAATCCAGCCTAGGTATGATGGAGCCAGTTCAAATGCACAAGAAAGTATAGCTTTGTGTGCTCTCTCCTTATTGTGAGAGCCTGCATATCAGGGAGACAAGAGGGACTAGGGCAGTGCAGAGAAGAAAGCCATCTGTAATCCAAATGAGGTTGAATCTAAGTGACTTGATTTCCTGTATCAAGATTGGATTTGTATGTATACATTGTACATATTTGTACATTCAAGAAATATGGGCCTTCCTTCACCTGCAGGAAAGAAGGGAGACTTGGGTGAGGAACAGAGGAGGTGGTGCTGGGTGTGGGGGAGTTGTCCTTTAAGAAGATTAAAGTAATGCAGAAAATGATTTACCCCAAGGATTGACAGCCAGGAGGAGGCCCAGAAACAAAAGGGCAGGCTGGGGAGTGGAGAAGTGCCCCAGTGCCCCCGTGGGGGAGATGGAGGGATGGCGGGGTGGCTTGGAACAAAGGAGGGCATTTAGGGAGCAGGGAAGGAAATTGCTTGAAATAAATCCTTTCACTTATTTTGATCCTGGAGATAGAACCTAAATCTTTATGCATCTGAGGCAAGTGCTTTCCCATTGAGACAGCTCCTCAGCCTTCTTTTTTAATTTTCTGTTTTGAGCTGGTCTAAGTTCTTACTGGCCTTGAACTTTCAATCCTCCTGCCTCAGCCTCTCAAGTAGCTGAGATTACAGGCCTGAATCACTAGATCTGGCTTTAACTTAGCGTTTTGATATCACTGGGAAAGTATTCAGAACAAGATACTTAATATTAAGCCTTAATTAATATTACATTATTTCTCATGCTATTAAATGAACTTAAAAAACATTTAATGAATTCATAGCATTCCATTGTCTTACTTTATTAATCCCGTGTCTAGACCTTGCCATTTAATATTTGTTTTCATTATAAATGCTGTTGATGATGGTTCTTGTCAATCTTTGGTCGCATCCCTGGGTGCTTCCTTAGGGTACTTATTTGACAGCGAAATTGCTGGATCTAGGTAAAAGATAGAATAGTGATGTTTTACCAGGTTCCTCTTTCCTGCAGCATATGAAGAAGGCAATACCCTTGTCTTCACTGGGAATTACATATTTTCATCATTTTATAATTCTCCATTTTGTACATGAAAATGATGCATCATTGTTTAAACTACTTCTTACTAATTTATGTTTTAAAAAGAAATTGAGAGTGTTAGTCTTTTGTTTGTCTTTCATTTCTTACAAATAAGTTCGTTTCCTCTTCCTTTTGTTTGGTGTTTTTGATGCCCAGAAGAATTTTTCTGTGATGCCCTCCCCACCCCCAGTACTGAGATCAGCCCAGGGCCTCACACATGAGAGGTAAACACTGTTATCTACACCCTCAGTATTGAAGACTTTATAGTCTCTCTACTTGCCAAGGACAACTCAGGTCTCTAAAGTAGTTGACAACTTCTGTAGCACTAGGAAACAAGTCAGATTGTTCTGTTTGGTTCATTATACAATCCTTAGTATATATTGAATTCTTATGTGGGTTAGAGTATATAGTAGTTTTTATTTTGAGCCTTTGTACTGAGGTTTGCTTGTTATTTGTTTTTTTTTTCAAAATTTATTTTATGTATGTTGGTGGTTTGCCTGCTTGTATGTCTGTGTGAGGGTATCAGATCTTGGAGTTACAGTTGTTAGCTGTCATGTGGGTGCTGGGAATTGAACCAGGTGCTCTGGAAGACTAGTCAGTATTTTTAACCGCTGAGCCATCTCTCCGGCTCCTGTCATTTGCATTTTAAAATTTTTATTTTATATTTATGGTGTTTTGCCTACCTTTATGTCTGTGTATCATTTGCATGCTTGATGTCTTTGGAGGCCAGAAGAAGGCATCAGAGGTGAGGTGCTGGGAATTGGACCTGGGAAGCGCAGCTTTTTGAGTGATATTCTTATTTTTGGAAGAGGTACATGGTGCCTGTAGGCTAGGGAACAAAGAGGTTGGTGGTAGTCTATTTTAGGGGCAAGGGCACAAGGGTGGGGCACCCCGTCTGATCATGCACATTATGAATATGCATCTAGCTATCCACACTGGTTACCTTTTTCTTTTCTTTTTTCTTTTCTATTCTTTTTTGGATACGGGGTCTCACTGTAATTCTGGCTGGCCTGGGACTCAGTGGGACCAGGCTGGCCTCAAACTCACAGAAATCCACCTGCCTCTGTCTCCCCACGTGATTGAAGGTCTGTGCTGCTATGAGGGGCCACTCTAGTTATATCTTAAGTGCTTAAATAGACGCCGTGTGGTTACCCATGTTGGACAGTACAGATAATAGACCTTTTGTTTTCCCTTTTTGCAAGAGATTCTGATAGGGAGTGCAGTGGCAGCAGTCACATTTGAGTTGTGAGCAGCACAACAGAACACACTTGGCCACATACCCTTCTTTGTAGGAAAGTCTACATGGGGGGGGGGAACTAACATTGAATGTTATATGTCAGCTTTACCCTATTTTCTTCCCGTAATGCCTTGTGTTATTTAACACATCCTTTGGGGTAGATAAAGTTGAAAAGACTCACTAATGTTCAAAAGACTGAGAAGGTTTCTTGGTGAGCAAAGCTAGAGTACCAGGGGTGGGGTGGGGTGGGGAAGTAGACAGCTGTCTGATTTCTCCTGGGGACATGTGAACACTCTGTTCATCACACACCAGCACTTCCAATAGACCTTACCGAGTGTGGCCCAGTGAACCAGAGAACATGGTTGATTGAAAAGCCCACAAGCTGAATCTCCCCAACTCGCAGGCAACTCCTGAAGTCTCCCCCAGCACTTTGTGTTGCTTATATAATTTCAGGGTGGGACTTCCAGAGTCTTCAGAAGGGAATGCATCAGTGGAGGCTGTCTGCATTTGGGTTTCTCCCCTGTAAGCACTGCCTGTCCCAGGTGCTACCTTATTTGCTTTGAGGCAACAAGGAGAGTGACCAGGTTCTGGTCAGAGTCCGTCCCAGGACAGAACATTGTCATTGTTTATACTGGGTCCACATGATGTAGGAGTTTTTGACCAACTATTTTGGTGTTGAATGGGTTAACCCTAAAACCATTCTTAACTCAGGGTGGGAGGCCTGGTTGCTGAGAACTCATTTGTGGATGAATTACAGATGAATTGCATCTTAGAAGTAAAGAAAAACCTGTGAGATATTGGGTGGAACGTGGTTGGAACTTCAGAGGCATTTTTATTCCATCAGGCAGACTCGGGCCATTCTACTGTGATGGGAATTCAAGTGTTGAAGCTGAAGCTCACAGCAGTTAATGGGTAGGAATTAGGCTTGCCTTTTTAGAAGCAGCTAGCCGTCCAGCCGTAAGCTCTACATAGGTAGTTGCAGCCAGAATTAGTCCCCAGAAGTCGTTTCTGAACCAGCACTGGGCCATGGGGAGTGCTTGTCCTGTCGGCACACGATGCCCTCTGCACTGTCTGCCCAGTTTTCTTCTGACAGCAATCCTGTCCCCTTCACCCAGAGCAGTCACTGATGAGGACAGACCTTTGCAGTAGATTCTTTTTTTTTTTTTTGGTTTTTCGAGACAGGGTTTCTCTGTGGCTTTGGAGCCTGTCCTGGAACTAGCTCTGTAGACCAGGCTGGTCTCGAACTCACAGAGATCCGCCTACCTCTGCCTCCCGAGTGCTGGGATTAAAGGCGTGCGCCACCATCGCCCGGCTGCAGTAGATTCTTTAGCCAGCAGCCAGAGCCTGGGTGTCTTGTGGCTAAGTGGTTTCCCAGGTGTGGAACACTGGCAGTGGGGTTTGGAATTTCAGGCAACTGTGGTCAGGTGCTAGAGACCACGTGACTACCCCAGGCCAGCTGCCGTGGAGCTTGTGGGAAGCTTCCCCCAGCTCAGAAGTGAGCTCTGCCGGCGCCTGCAGCCTGGGGTAGGAAGGTGTGGGCAGGTGCCGTGGATGGGGGAAGCCTGTGGGCTGGCAAGCAGAGACAGTGATAGCCTGTGAAGAGGCTGCGGGGAATGGAAGCCCATGGCTGTAGATGGCCCTCAAAAGGCCAACAAGGCTGGAGGTTCCTCTGTGTCTTGGTAAATAAGAGTTGAAGCTGATGGCAGAGCGGGGGACAGCGGTTGGGGAGCCTGGATGAGGGCCAGCTAAGGGCAACAGGAGATAAGGCTCATCTAAAGATGCCTCCATGTTGGTGGGATGCTCAGCTCACCCTGAACACCAGGTCGCTTATGTGTGTTCTTTTATATTTAAAGACATTTGGGCATTGTTTTATATTTAAAGAAACCCAAATGTTGTGCCAGTCAGCCTCTGGTTCATCCAAGACAGTTATTACAGTCCTCAGCTGCCCTTGTTCAGTGTGGGGCCCTGCTTTAGCAGTGAGCTCCTTGGCAGTAGGACTATGCTTAGGCTGGACCTGGCTCTGTGCATATGCACAGTAATTGGGCTAGTGATCCAAGGTGGCACACAGTAAAGACTATGAAGATAGATTGGTAAAGGAAGTCACTTTGGGTTGCAGAGTTGGGTGAGACAATTTTGTCAGGGCAGACAGAACAGGACAGCATGTACTCTTCTCCATGGTGAAAGGGTGGTGGCCTCCTCAAACTGGAGAAGAGAAAGTGCCGGGTCCCAGAGGAGGCCGAGGCAGACAAATAGGGTTAGGAAGTAGATGGGCATGCATGTGTACAAGTGACAGGGTGCTCATGTGGTAGTGCAGAGCTGTTGAAAGTGCCAAACGTTTATAAGTACCAGTGAGTGCCTGCCTATGTGTGTGTATGTGTACCGTGTGCATGCCTGATGCCCTCAGACCACAGGGGCATTAGAGCTCCAGGAACTGGGCTCTTCCAGGTGGTCGTGCATTGCCCCGTGGGTGCTAGTCCCCTGACCCACCTCCACCACCTGTGCCTCCCATCCGAAGGCTCCACAACTTCCTGAATAGCGCCACCCACTGGGGACCAAGTGTTCACGCAGGAGCCTGTGAGGGCCATTTTACATTTTATCTCTAAT